TGAAGCAACATGTAATACATTTTTAGAATCAGCTCAACCATGAAATCCAGAAATTGGAAAAATAGAGTGATCCTTAAAAAAATAGTGATATCATCACAAGAAGGTACTTCACCCTGTATATTAGATTATTTTTAAAAAGAATGAATTAAAATCAAAAATCGACCTGTTTCGGAAATGTTTAATAGTATTGTTTATTTAGATAATAATAATTTTATGCGTTACTGATAACTATAATACTGATATGGAATGATATCGCCCAAATTAGATTTTACATACAGTGCTGTAAATAGCCTTTTATGCGGATAGTGCAAGCTTCTATAACTGCGTCCTTGAAAAAGCCATCGCTGAGCTATTTCTGCATCCCTCCGAGGTATACGTCCTGTGCCTGGGCACCTCCCTAGTTACGGCACTGTATACATACAGAATGTCCTAACTTTTATTGATATATTATTTCAAAATATTTAATATACAGTGTCGTAATTTTTTTAATTTGATTTTGATCAAAAACTTTGGTATATATTATATTTTTAAGTAGTTATATATATATATATATATATATATATATATATATATATATATATATATATATATATATATATATATATATATATATATAGATAGATAAAAGAATTATTGGGAGATACCGCAGAAAAAAAAGGCCTAATGTTTCTGACTATTGATCTTCATCAGTACGTTGCAGCTAAGTTCAAAAGAGAATGGAACTAGCGATGAAATCAAAAAACAGGAGATTACTAAACCTTCTTCTCTTATATATATAGGATGGACCAAATTAGATTATTTCCTGTTGTATTCTTACATTGGATTTTATTTTTGATCAAATAATAGTGTTTCATTTTGTTAATATACAGGGTGTCCTGTAATGATGTTCTAATACATTAAGAGGGTGTTCTACCAACCATTTAAGAAAAGGTTTTATTTAAAAAAACAATTGCAATTTGGATCCTTTTTTTAAATTTGTTCTTAAAGAAAAAGTTCTAAAATAAATAAAAAGGGAAGTTGTCAATTTGTACCCTTTAAAAACAGGAACGTAAAGTACAGACCATCATAAATAGGGTTCGGTTAAGGGCGTGCGTGCACTGTGCGACCAAGTCGCGACGGCTTGTAATCGTCCACCGACCAACCATCACCAAGAAGTTGCTACTGCCAGGTCGCGACGTGCAGACGGCCACTAAAACGCTGCGACCAACAAGATACATCCCAGACAGCACACCAAATCCTTTGGATATCTACTGAACATCCCAATATCCACTGAATGTCCAGTCCATGGTAGATATATATTTTATATCCATGAAATGTAATTTATAGACATTCAAATGTCCATAAATAATAGTAATTATATAGCAAATTATTAAAAAATTGCGCCATTGTGCTCGCCATTGTGGCTAATAGTACCGTTCAGATATTTAAAATTAATTTTTTTAAGGTGTATTCAATATCCCATGAACATCCACTAAATATATCAAAGTCTAGGCGCGAACGCAAACCATCGTGGATATCCACTAGATGTTATTTGATTCTGCTTACTAAGTATAGATGGCTATACCACTATCGCATCTACTCATGCTCGACCCGCCGTAATTGAGTTCGATCGAAATGTGTCCTAATCACTCCATTAGAGACTGGAGTCGAGAATTTTCATTTATTGCTGAAGAGTCCTAATAAGGATGACTTTCTCCTTAGTGGGCAAAATCAAAGGCAGAGTGTTGAAAATATTTTGAGTGTTGAAAATATTTTTTATCTCTGCTATTTTCTTTCGACGTTATTCAATAATCATTGGTTACTTATGAACCTCTACTAAAGATACCCATAAAATATTTTGCTGAATATCCAAATATCTTCTATATCCTGGGATATAGACGGACATTTGGTTGGATATCCATATTGGATATATTGAATATCCACAAAATATATTCTGTGGATATCTCTGTGATTTCTTGTATTTTCTGGAAGATACCCATTAGATATTTTTCTGAATATCCATTAGGATATCTTCTATATCCTGGATATAGACGGACATTTGGACATCCATATTAGATTCACGGAATATTTCTGATATCCTGTGGATATATTGGATATCCACTAAAGATATTCTGCGGATATCTCTGGGATTTGGTGTGTTGTCTGGGATCATGCTAAAATATAAAATATAATGTACCGTCGATTCACAAATATAAAGTGCGGTCATACCCCAAGGAAACATCAAACATTCAATGTGCGAAATGCAGTAAATACCGCGGGTAGATTTGTGTCGCATATACAGGGCCGACTAGAGCCTAATTCCCGGGGCCCGGACTCAAATGGGGACCCGGCAGCGGTATAAGGGGGGCCCGGCAACTAGTTTTTTTTTGTTTTGTATGCGACATGTGACACAAGACGAGAGGGGGAAGTTTTTGGTGTTTTTTTTTTAAATTCAATTCAAGTAGAGGAGGAAAAGTTAAAGAGGAAAAGTTTTTGTTTGAAGAGCTTGTCACGAGGCCCGATCTAGAGAGTTGTCCTGGGGCCCGGCCTGGCTCTCGGCGGCCCTGCGCATATATTCAATCTAAAAACGTACATGTTCTCGGGATCATCGCACATCGATGAAGCGTAGGCACGTAGTAGTACTCCTGTGTCTTGCAACATAAACCGCATGTGCTTTTCTGTGCATGTTGGCCGCCGTATTTGTCGCGTGTTTGGATGAAAAAGATCTTCTCTGTTTGTTTGTTAAAATGGCTGACAATCCAACTTTTGTAAAATTGATCGAAAAGCATCCTTGCATTTGGAGTTACAGATTAAACGATAGTTTGTATCTAATTTTTCTATTCTTGGTCCTATAAGTTCCAGCAATACTTTAAAACTTTGCTAATTCATTCTATAAAATTCTTTAAAATTTTCCGGATTGAGAGTCAGTTGTTCCTGTGCAACAGTTACTAAGCTGTGCTCTAGGTTATGAACAAATAATGGATGAATCCAGTACTGACGCATTCTTCTACGTTTACGTCGATTTCGCAAAAATTGTCAAGCAACAACCACATCCTCCTTGCTTGACGACCAGGGTCGATGAGAGAAGGGTAGCCGGGACTAATTCCCGGGGCCCGGGCTCAAGTGGGGGCCCGGCAGCGGCATAAGGGGGGCCAGGCCGCTTTACGTAAGCAGGTTTTTTATTTTTTTAGGAGTTCGCCACATGAGCAGAAGAAAGAGGACCCTTTTTTCTCTCCTAGAAGTTTTTACTAGAGGACATTTTTAGAGAATTTATTAAAGAGGAGGAGATATTTTTGCTTAAAGATCTTTTTTTAGAGATGTGATATTGAAAAGGCTTATTCTTTAAAAAAAATGTCGCGGGGCCCTACCTGGAAAATTGCCCCGGGGCTCGACCTAGCTCTCGGCGGCCCTGTTGACCACATATTAAATACTGCTTAAATTTTTCCATCTGTGTCTACGATGTCTAGCAACATATGATATTTACTTCATGTCGCACGTTGCATGTTTGATGTTTCCTTGGTGTACGAGTGCACTAAGAAGGAAGCTGCTACTTGCTCGGTTTTCATTTTGAAATTAAGAACAATAGGTGCGTTTTATTCGTCCATTCTCTAGTAGAAAAAGTTTGAACAGAATTTGCAAACGAAATAAAACGATAAAATTGTCATCTGTCACGAATGTCAAATTTAAAATTATCGTTGATTTTTCCTTTATCCCTCCCCATGATAATTAAAAATTATAAGTATTATAACTCATTTGGGTAAATTATCCTGTGGGATATAGCCCAATAAAGGAAGAAGAAGATTATAACTCATAACCTTACTAATAAAGTATGTTTGGCACATGAGATTGACATATCAATACCTCCCACTTTTTTCATTCCCTTTATTCGGTCAAAATTCACCGAATGGGAAGTTTCAGCGGAATGAATCAATCAACACAAAAAAAAACGCTCATCCTATTCATACTTTCCACACCAGTGGCAAAAGATTGAGCAATAAAACGCGTCAATTGGTCGCTTGATATTGGACGCGATCACTTGCAAATATGTCTTGTTCGCGTCGACCTGGCCGTCTTGATCTGTCGTCTAGTGCGTGCACGCTCTAAAAGACGAACCGTTTTCCCGAAAAAAATTAAAATTAATTTTTTTTGCCATTTTGAGACCTAAATATCTCGACCCAAATTACATAATTTTATGAGAAAACTCGCCTTTAAATGGTTGATAGAACACCCTGTTAAAATATTGGAACATCATTAGGGAAAATTTAATTTCCTTTATTTGACAAATTAAATATAAAATAAAACCAGAATGAAGATATTTAATGCTTGATATTCTATATCTACCATCTATAAATTTTTAGAATCAATACGCTTCATCCCCTTCATCTGAAGATTTCAATTTTAAATCGTTCTTATATTTTTAAGTTAGGTTTTTTTTCAATATTTCAACCTCCTTATCCCCCTATTTTGATTTAGATTTTTTTCATAATCAATAGGCTTCATTCCCTTATAGAGCTTGATTTTTACTAAAAAGTTCATGTTGATATCGTTTTTGGTGCAAGTTTGTATATCAAATTTTATTTTTATATTATTAAAAAAAAATAGTTCTTTAATATACTATCGTGCAGGACAGAGACAAACGCACTCCTTTGAGAAGTTACTAGATAAATTTTGCGCGCCGTCTGACTCATAGAGGAATAATTTCCAGAGATTCTAGACCGCCGAGAATCTATTCGAGCAGAGCTGGCTTTATATAAATAGTGCGACTTTGTCGGTAGACGTTAAGTTTCAATATAAATGTTGTATAGTAAAGATAAATTGTAAAATAAATTAGAAGTATGAGTTATAATAGTGCCTAAATATTAAAAAAAATAATTAATACGTTATAAATAAACTGTTTTAACTAAATAAACTATTTCTAAATTAAACAATCGTTATAATACAGAATAATTGATAAATCGGTTGGCCCAAATTAGATTGTACGTTCTATAGTTTTGTTATACAGGATGTCTATTTGTTTTTAGTGGTTTGATCGGTAGATCATGGGCTATGATTTTCGCAGCCTCCGGTTGGACCGTTTCTCTCTACGACATCGAAGTAAAACAGATAGAAACAGCACTCGCTGACATTAAACAACAGCTCAAAACTTTAGAAAAGGAAAAGCTGCTCAGAGGCAACATCAATGCTGACCAACAAATCGCTCTGATTTCAGGTAGGCATCTATATTTTCAATAATTTAATAATTTGATGAGTATCGAAATATAATTTGTGTACAGGTTCTACGAAATTGGAAGATACCGTCAAAAACGCTACCATAATTCAAGAATGCGTTCCGGAGAATCTAGAATTAAAGATAAAAGTATGGAAGCAAGTAGACGCGATAGCTGAATCAACAACTATTTTGTCTAGCTCTACGTCAACCTTTGTTCCATCTCTTTTTAGCAAAGACCTTAAAAACAAGTAAGTTTCTTTACACAATACCTGCATATTTTATTCTATATTCGCAAATCTTTTTTCTACAACCTCATGTATATCAATATTTTATTCACTTTGTGTACAAACTACAAAGCAAATAAGTACATATATACAAAGAAACCGTAAATTTTAGTAAATTATAATAAAACTATCTAAAACCAATTCAATTATAATTAATAAGTCATACAAAAAATTATATTCGTAAAAATAAACAACAAAGGAAAAACTCGAAGTCTGTAACAACCAACTAGTCTAAAAACCCATTTAGTTCAACTGGTAGGTATTTTGCTACTGTTGTCAATATACTTTTAAGGCATTAAGGTAGCACTGTCACCAGCCAAAGGGTCCTGGAGTCCAGAAGGAACTTCCATTAACCAGTGGCAAATAAAAATATTAAAAATAATAAAATTTAAAAAACAAAATTATCCCTTAATTGTACAGTCGAGCTGCTTTGGCAACTAGTTATCGACTCTTCTAGTTCTTTAGGGGTTGAAACGCCGAGGCGTCTCAAATGCTCGAAATATTTTGTAACGACCCCCATCATTCACAGCACTTCAAATGGAATAAATCCATTTCGACGACATCCAAATGGATTTTAAGTTTAGAGGCTGGTCATTCACGGTCACTTAAAATGGATACGTGAATAATGTAGATTTTTGTGTTTTGTTTTTTCCAACCAGAAATTGTCAATATGGATGATAAAGCAATATTTTTTTGTATAGTGTCTCTATTTGCGTTACCTTTTATTTAAAAAAAACAACAGGTATAAGTTGTTCCATTGCTGCATTTCTCTCAATTTTGTCATGATAGTCGTCATGTGTTATTTTCCATAAACATGGTAAGTCTCTATATCGCTCGTTTAGGTACTTCTCAACAAATTCCCGACCAGATTCAGTCAGTTTTCTATGTAAACACTCATCTGCAATCTTAAAAGTTCCAAGTACCAGTGCACTCAGGAACCACACAGTACTAAAGACTCTGAAGAACAGTGTTGCCAGAACGAGGCAATAATTTGTAATGCATAATTTGATTGAAACGTGATACATGCCCCCCTGGCTTTTGCGACTTAATCAACAACGCGTAAGATATGCATTACGAACAACAATCTCATAGATTTAATAATATTCAGACTAATATAGTTGAAGAATATTATTTATTGCATATCTGGATTCCCTTATTACGTCGCTTACTTCACGCTTTTCCGAAGACTCAGTTAGTTTTTCCTTAAGCCTGTTATATCCCAAAAACAAAAAAATAATACTTTTTTTACTACCGATTAGAAAATGAAAGTAGTGGAAAAATTTGGAATCGACAATTTTGAAGCTGAATACCAAACTGGAGTACGAAAGAGCTTTCTGCACACAATAAACTCTCCATTAATGATATAGCTTCCAAACATTGTGAATTTTATCCAGACATACAAAGTGGTTTAAAAAATATTTATGGCTCTTCCACCAACGACAGAGTTAATCGAAAGAACGTTTAGCACGCTGGCATGTTAAAACATGGATGGCTGCGGTCTATTCGATCAGTGCGAAGTAGAGGAAGCAGAAGCGATACTGGCGCAAGCTGCGGATAATTCGAGTACTTTAGGGCGATATTTTGTAATTTTGGCGTATCAAATACACGTATATATTTTACTTTTTACTGAAAAAAATAGGTTAAAAACAATAAAATGAGCAACCGGAGTTACTATGTTGAAAATTATACTAGCAAAAAAACTGTAAATTATACAAATTTTCACTAGCAAAATCGAAATTAAATCAAATAAATAAACCTACAGCTTTATAATAGGAAGAAAAAATCTTTATTTTTGTAATAATAGCAGTATTATTGGAAATAATAGATATCAGAAAAGGTTTTAAATAAACAATAAATTAATATTTTATAAGATTCTTCAACATCCCTTAAATCTTAAATGTTTAGCAAATGATTAGATTTCTGCCTTTGATTATTGTATATGGCTGAAATGCAATCTTGTGACTTATTGATAGGAAGCCAGTTTTTTTCATTAATTTCTTTCGAACTAAAAATGAAGAAAATATAAATTACAATCGCAAATATACCAATTATTTTTGTTAATACGTTATTATATAATGGTAATGTTTTTATTTTGACATTATTTACCTATTCTTCAATGACAACTTATTAGGCTTAGGCAAGATCTCATACATTTTCTCGAAAATACCTACCTATGTTTTATTATTGATTTTTTCTACACCCGTATTATAATAATGCACTTATATGCCCATAATCCGTTTCATAATGATACCCATTATGATACAGATTTTTAATCAATAGAAACCTACAATTTTTCAATCAGGCATGCTGTTTGACGTTTGTCCTAGGTTCCTATGTAATTATTTTAGTTGTCAAAACGTATTAAATTTTCGTAGGTAGCTAAACTTCGATAATTATAATATTAAAATGTCTGATATTAGCGATATAGAAGACTCCTCCACACATATCGGAGAAAGCAGAAAATACAGTACAAAATATTTTACCGCAAAAATCTAGGGAAATACCAATACCTGAAGTAATACCATTAATTACAATTTTGTAGAATTTTTTATAGAAATACGAGTAATTACTGTTATTGTGTTCAATACCAATATAAATATAATATTTATAGGTCTTGATTATTTATCGGGTGTAGAAAAAATAGCGTATGCAACTCTCATGTAATGGTTATTAAAACACTCGCATAAACCATACGAAACTCGCCTTTGGCTCGTTTCGTATCCCGGTTAATGCTCGTGTATTAATAACCATCATTACATGATCGTTGCATAATATACTATTTATTGATTATACTACTTTTTTTTAGCTGAAGTAATAAAAATATATATTAATAATAATAATAATAATAATAATAATAATAATATTTTTCACTTGTTTTACAAATCCATATACTTTTATTAAAATTAACAAATATATTTTTTAATTACGTACTCTATTAAAAATTGTATTGTCAGTATACGCAAATATCGTCCGTTAGTTCATAAAATAGTTGGCGCTGTTGTCACGTACGGAGCGAATAATGAATGAAAATGGACTAAATAAAGAATAAATTATGTTTTCTGTTATCGATGTTTTTAGTAGAGAAAAAAGAAATTTAAAATTTGAGTTTCCCCACTTTTTTTTTGTGTTCATCGTCGTGTTTGAGTGAGTTTTTATGTTTTTGTTTTTTTATACATTTTTATTTGTTATATTATTTTGTATGGCTGCGTCTTCTTGTTCATATTTCTCTTTTATATCACATCTTCTGTTTGTTTTTTTTAAATGTGTTTTAAGTTTCTTGTTTTTTCTTTATTTTAGTTTTTGTCTTTCTTGTTGGGTTATTTTATTTATTAGAGATTTGTTATGACAACTTAAGTATCAGTTCTGTCCAATAGGTCAGTGACATTGTTAGGGTTACTATTAAAGTTCCATTCCCTTATCTTCGCAATTCAGTGAAATATCGGAATAAGTTTGTTCTGTTTGAAAGACTGGAGCAAATTCTTTCTTATGATGCATTTAATTGTTGTGTGCCGTCATGGCTTACTTCCGGTTTTTCCGGAAATAACAGAAAATTTATTTTTTTTATTTTTAAAAGGAAACCCTCTTTTTTATTGTAAATTTAAATTTCTGGGACATTTTTGTATAATAATCGTGTATTGACAATTTTCAGCTGTCAAAATGGCCGCCATATTGGATATTATTTTTTCTAAATATGTTACTGTTAATTCGTTTATGGAAAAACATATAGGAATGTACGAACTTTATAAAATCTTTTTAGGCTTCAAAATTTACATTGAGACCCATTTATCGTATACCAGTGGCGTATCAGAGCATTTTTAATAATAGCAAACTGTTTAATAATTCCATCCGCTTTTATCTTCGTTGTTAATTGAGATATTGGAATGAAAACTTATTTCTTTAAAAGCTTGGGACAAATACTCTCATATACTGGATTCAATTGGTGTGTGACTTCATGGCGTACTTCTGTTTTATCGGAAATAACAGAAAATTTTTATTTTTAAATAGAAACCCCCGTTTTTATTGAAAATTTGAATTTCAGAGATATTTATTTTTAAGAATCATGTGTTGAAAATTTTCTGTCAGCTGTCAAAATGACCATCATATTGTAAAATATTTTTTTTAATGTTACTGATAGAAAATTTTCAATACACGCTTCTTATACAAAAATGTCGCAGAAATTCAAATTTACAATAAGAAAAAGGGGTTTCATTTAAAAATAATAAATTGCGATTTTCTGTTATTTCTGGAAAGACCGGAAGTAAGCCATGATGTCACAGAATAATTAAATCCATCATAAGAAAATTCTCTTTTAGTTTTCTTTTTTTTTGTTTCCCAACAAATAAACATTCTACATTTTTTCAAAATTTTGCCTCTCCCTATAGAATTGTGTAACGACGCCCATGATGACTTCTTAAAATTGTGGAATTAAAAAAGTATTGCTCTGTTTATATTATTCAAATTATATTTCAATCTAGCTTTTCCCTCAAATTCATGATTACTCATCTAAAGAATGTAAAATAATTCTTCTTGAGGACATTCATCTACTGTGAATTGTTATTTAGCCTCTAAAAATGGTTCTCGCAATTTTTGATCCTCTTGAGAAATAAGAAAGCTGGCGTAACATTTTTGTAAAAGGAGTAATACCGTAATACTATGAACCAAAAAGTAATAACAAATTAATCAATGAATTTAAAAACCGTAAAGTCTAAAAATCGAGCCAAAAGTAGACATTTTATATTAAAATTTTCTTTAAAATATATTATTTTATTGACGAGGTATACATATATATCATAATTAATGTGGGTATATAGGCAACACATTATACATTACTTACGACAAAATTTTCAGTTTTTATATCTATTTCTTAAAAAAATGTGATCGTAGAAAAAATATTGTGTGTATTTTGAGGAAAAAGTTCGTTGCCGCTTTCGACAGATTGAAATTTATTTCCTTTAATAATCGCCAGTGTGGCTTATTATTCCGCTTTGTTCTAGAGAACTCGGTAGGTACCACAGCGAGCTTTTATTTTGCTTCTTAAGTACAAATGGCGTTACCGTTTTTGCTCGTTGAATATCTACACATTCTCAATCTCTGTTAATGTATACGAGCGATTTTTGTATTGCCGATAAACGCCATTAGAGACTGGAGTCGAGATTGTCTATTTCGTGCTGTTGAGTCCGAATAAGGACGAAATCGGTCCAAGAATGACTTTTTCCTTAGGCAACAAACTCAAAGTAAGAGTGTTGAAAATAATTTTTTATCTCTGCTATTTACCTTTTGATATAATGCAATGCCTATTGCGGTATTGACCAAAGGAGCAGTTGTTTTCAGGAGTGAAATTGCCGATCGTAGTTTCTGTGACGTGACACGGACTTTGAGTTTTTACTTTGTTGTTTATTTTTAAATTGGTCACATTTGAGAATTGGAATTTATTTCATTTAAAAAATTAAAAGATGTTAGCGTAACAGTTTGAGTGTTTGCGTTGCCTTTCGAGGTCGAGTGGGACAATTTTATAAATTTAAATCTCTGTGTTAATTATTTTTACAATAGTCATTTTATTTTAATAAATCGTATATTAATTTTTATAATTTTGTATTTTAATTTAGTCGTTGAAAAAATATACCTTATAACTCGAGTGGATGGCGTAGGCGATATATGGCCATTGCAGCCACTCTTGTTGCACAAACTAATATTATAAAATATTATTATTTTAAGGAAAAACATTATTGTCTCTCATCCTGTCAACCCTCCTTACTATGTGCCCGTCATCGAGGTGGTTCCAGCTCCTTGGACAGATCCGGAAGTTGCCAAAAAGACCAGAGCTATTTGGGAAGAAGTCGGTCAAACACCAGTGTCCTTGACCAGAGAAATACCAGGATTCATCGTCAATAGACTTCAGTAAGTCCTTAAATGTTTTGGACGATGATTCTTTGGTTAATAATTTATTTCAAAGTTGGTAGTATTATAATGATTTTTTTTGACGTCATAAAATGGAGGAATGCGAGTGCGGGCATGGACAATGTATTTAACATAGGCATACATAGCATTCTTTCAATGACTTTTTAGCTGAAACTACAACAAGGAGAAAAGTGAAAAAATTCCTGCCGTTAATAGATATATACTAGTGTTCAATAAAGGTTCAACTATCAGAGATCGTTTAAACATAATTCCAAAAATATGGTAATTTTTATGATGAAATAAAGCTAATAATATACGAGTAATAATTACCCGATGATGAAAATAATTCTACTTTGAATAGGTTATATATTAAAGCAACAAATGTCACTTAAAATATCTAAATTAATTGCTTCATTTTCCTTCAAAGCTCATTAAAGTAAATTTTGGAAGAAATTATAAACAACCATTTATGTGTAACAATTACCTAGCATATAAAAGAAAAATTCCTAAAACTACATACATACGAGTAGACATAGATTAATTCGGAGCTTCTCTAATAGATATCGCTAAATTCGTCCCGAGGAGAAATTCAAATGCGCAGGTCCGTATTTAGGAGTTTACTAATATGCTTATCATTTCAGTTATTAAGCTGATTTGTAAGTAATGAGGGAAAGCCTTGGTATAGCCTCAACTTTATACCTCGAGATATTGATTTTACGTTTTGGGGTCCGGAAAATGTCTCTATGTACGATGGTAAAATTTCAAAAAACGACTAAACGGCCTCTTAGCAAAAATCGATTGCTTGTTAATTTTATTGGATATCGGAGCCTAGGTGATAATGGTCCTTTATTTAGTTGTTTTATAAAATTGAATATTTCAAATATTCATACAAATCTGATATGCTTAAATGTATTTTTTTCAAATTTGGTTTTAACTTTCATATATCCAGTAAAGAAAGTATATGATTATTTTTTTTCGACTTCGAGTTTTTAACTGTACTTTAGGTTCTGACGATAATTCAAAAATGGATGAACAGTAAATTTTAAACTGTAGCTTTAATCCATCCTACGATAAATTAATTAAATTTTAGGCAGTCTGAGCATCTTTGGTGCGGAGGATATCTTTTCGACCTCAAAGTATATTTCTGTTAAGTAGTTACCTAATTTGTTTGTGTAGTCATTCTTTATAATTTATGTCCTTTAATATATTATGATTTCTCTAAAACTAAGAAATTTGAGGAAAAGTACAGAATATGTATTTTCAGTATTTTAGTATTTTAGATATGAAAAATGTTTGAATTATATTTATCTTTAATTCATACTCTAAATACTGTTAGATTAGATGGGCCATATTCAATATATTTGATAACTTTACAGGAAAGTTATGTGTTAAACACATTTTGTTTTAAATATTTCATTAAGTTACACATGTAAGTAAAGTTAACTTCCACTAAAATGGTGACAGATTTATTAAATTTAAAAAGAAATTTCAGATAAAAACAAAACTCAAACCAAAACCGAAATTTGCCATTTGGTCTTTCAACACGCAACCACAATACAGTCAGTCAGTACAGCACACATACTTTGATTTTACTGTACAGCATCTGTGGTTCACGTGACATCGTCAGGTCACACAGTTCCAAATATCATATACTGCGTGGTCAAAATTATCGTTATGTTTTTGTACATATTATCGTAGTTCAGCCCCTATTCAAATTAAAAATTAATGCAAGGAAGTTTATAAAAATAACAGGTCCATGTATTTATTTTCTTATAAGGGATGAAATAAAAGAAACAAAAACTTTTTTAAACTGCAGCAAAAAAAATTCTAAAAATAGATACCTTAGTGTGAGTTCAAATTAAAAATCGATACTTGCCTGTATCCTCCGAGCAATTACTACTAGAGGGAGTCTTCCCCCCTTCCCCGCGCTAAATTTTGTTAGCAACATCTACTCCCCCCGAGGGGGGAAATACCTCTTCTGTAATTGGCTTATTTAATCAGCGTTGCCACATGTGACAGCGCCAGTTCTGAGTGTTCTGACACTTTCTGACACATGTCAATTTTTTATTTATATTTTACGGAAAATATAATTATTAATAGCGTTGTAAGAGTTGTAAATGTATATTTAAGATTTATTATCTCTAATAATATGGTGAAAACATGCTTTATGTGTAAAAAGCATAATGAAAATGCTTCTTCAAGATAATATCATAAGTAAGTACAGACACAATTTGTTGATGTTTTTTGTCTCTTGGTGTTCTGCTCTTTTTTTTTTTTTTCTTCCACAGCTATCCACCACACACTCCATTGTTTTTCCACCTACTACACCACAAATCAAAAACAGATGTGACTTCCAATGTCATCAACTTTGAAATTCTATGACATTGGCAGGAAACAGGATTGAGTCTCATGCCACCACGAAACATTCTAAAGTGCCATTCACATAACAAAAATAAAACGTCGAAATGACAAAGTGGAGATGACTGGTTTAAGATTATAACATTTATCTATCAACGTAATTATGACAGAGAGAAGAGTAATATGTAGTACGAAGCACTACAATACTTCCCCTCTTAAAAAAAATAACATATAAATTATGAAACAACTAAAAATAATGAACTATTTAATTTAATGCAAATGTAACTTTCTTAACTTCTTTTATAGATTCATTATTATCCGATAATAAAAATGCAGGTTTTAACTGATCAATATTGATAACTAATTCGTTATTATTTTTTAAAATTGTAAAAAGTTTATCAGATCTACGAATAACTTTAAAAGGACCTTCGTAGCAAGGTTTTAAAGCGGCTTTAATGCCTTGAACTTTTAAGAAAACGTATTCTGCGTTTTCTAATTCTGGAGAAACAAATGTTTTCCTTATACCGTGTTCCTGAACTGGAGCTGGTCTTAATTTGTTGAAATTTTCTCTCAAATTAATTAATATTGAATGAGTATCTATCTCTTCATTTGAAGACGTGAAAAATTCACCAGGCAAACGTAAAGTTTGGCCGTATACCAATTCTGCAGAAGAACATTGTAAGTCCTCTTTTATAGCAGATCTTAGCCCTAATAATATTAAAGGTAATTCATCATACCAATTATTCGAAATTAATTTTGCAGATAACGATGCCTTTAGTGTTCTATGAAAACGTTCTATCATCCCATTGGCTTGAGGATGGTAAGTAGTTGTATGGATACTTTGAAATCCTAACCTTTTACTAAAATCTTTGAACATACTAGATTCAAATTGACTGCCTTGGTCATGAGTAATATACACTGGTACACCAAAGCGTGTTATATACTGATTTAATAAAACTTTGATTACTGATTCTGAACTGATGTTCTTAAGTGGATAAACTTCTACCCATCTAGTACATCTATCAATAACAGTAAATAAATAATTATGACCTCTTGAAGGTTTCAAAGGACCCACTAAGTCTACGTGGATATGTTGGAATCTTCCTTCTGGAATTTTAAAATTTCCTAGAGGTGATTTTGTGTGTCTAAGCACTTTCGCCTTTTGACAATTAATACAACATTTTGACCATGAATAAATTTCTTTATTCATCCTTGGCCAAAAATACCTAGAATTTATTAATTTAACAGTGGCCTTACATCCAGTATGAGCTATGTTATGTAACTTTAAAAAAATACTATAACGTAAACTCTTAGGAATGTATGGTCTGCTCATTTCCTTTGAAGTTTCGCACCAAAGATTCAATTTTGGGGTTTCAACCTCTACATTGCTTAAGAAAAATTTTCTTCCTTTTTTATTACTTGAATTCTGTTTTTTTAATAAGAACTCTAATTCTATGTCTATTTTCTGTTCTGAAATAATTTTATGTAAATTAAAATTTGCAATATCATTGCCTTTAATTCCGTCTTTTTTAGCATTGATATTTATGATTTCGTCTTCTTCAATACGACTTAAAAAATCGGCCACTCTTACATTTTTGCTACCAACATAAATTATTTTGTTAGTGAACTGTAAAATATATTCGATATAACGAAATTGTCGTGGTGATTTTTCTGATTTTGAATGGATTGCTCTTTCAATTGGTTTATGATCGGTAAAAACTTTGAAATCCATTGCTTCAAGCATATGTCTAAAATGTTTAATTGACATGTAAATCGCATATAGTTCTTTATCGAATACACTATAATTGATTTGTGATTTTGAAAGTTTTTTAGAGAAATAAGCTAATGGTTGCCTAACATTATTTATAGTTTGTTCTAATACACCACCTATGCATGAATTGCTGGCATCAGTGGTTAACGATAGTTCGGCACCTTCTTGTGGATGTACGAGTAAAGAGGCTTTAATAAGCGCGTCTTTGGCTTCATTAAAACTTCTTTCGTATTCCTCAGGCCAATTTTCTATATTTTTGAATTTATTTTTATTAAGATAAGCAACAAATTCATGCAATGGGCAAATAATTTGAGCAAATTTAGGAACAAATTTATGGTAAAAATTTATCATACCTATAAATCGTTGTAATTGTTTAAGAGTAGCTGGTTTTTTATAATCTTTTATTGCTTTAACTTTTTCCTCTGTAGGTAACATTCCTTTAGCAGAGATATTGTAACCCAAAAAATTAATTTCTTTGACGCCAAACATGCATTTTGAAGGATTGACATTTACGCCAAAAGAATCTAACCTATTAAACAGAATGTCCAGCTGTTTAAAATGATCTTCTTCGTTTTTACTAAATATCAAAATGTCATCTAAATAAACGTAAATAAAATCAAGACCTCTAGTTACTTCATTGATAAATCTCTGAAACGTATTTCCTGCGTTTCTTAATCCAAAAGGCATTCTTAAAAATTCAAAAGCTCCAAATGGAGTAGTAATGGCGGTCTTAAAAATGTCTTCTTTTGCGACAGGAATTTGATGATATGCTCTCACTAAATCTATTTTAGAAAAAATGGTGCATCCATGGATTTTAATGTTAACATCGGATATTAACGATAATGGGTATCTTTCAGGGATTGTTAATTTG